TAATTATTTGTATCGTTACAGTTCCTCAATATCAAACCATCTGAATATGACTATGGTAGAACAAAGATTTTCATCAAAAACCCTCGAACAGTAAGTTTGTAAATTTTACATTACTGTACATTTTTTGATGTTTTTACACMATATACTCCTGGATAATCCTTTTACAGAAGGGTTTATTGTATTATTGACATTTCTCTGGGCTCATATGGTGTCACATCAATAAGTTGTTTCTGTTTGAATGGGTAATTTTTGAAAGTGAAACTAGTGTGCATCTTTGTTTGTGAGAGTTTTGAAAGTAAGCTTTGTCATCCTTATTTGGGTGTTGGAAACTTTCTCATGCTCAAACAAAATCAGTAGCGATAGTCTTCATTGAAGGAAGTACACATTATAACAGTTTAAGAAATAAGTCACTTTGAGTCAACAAAGGCTGCTCATAAGTTAACAAATCTTTTTAAAAGTCTGTTATAAATATTTGTTACATTGAAACCTTCTAGAGGTAATTTCTCAGTCCATGGCTACCATTTTGTTAATTGGTCCAAACATTAACTTAAATTATGGTGTTCATTGTTTCAGTTGTTTGATTTAGAAGAAAGRCGTAAACAATCCATGGAAAACCTTGCTGTGGTCATTCAAAAGACATTCAGAGGATGGCGACAACGAACTAAGGTTGACAGTTGATTTATTTTTTATSTCCAACTTAATAAATAATAATTGCTGTCAGTGAAATTACATTTACCTTGTCTAGAAGATTAAGAGGTGCCCTTACCTTGGATAGTTGTTTACTTTTTTTCCTGGCAGCAAATCATTTCTACCCATAAAAAAATGATATTGTGGTTATTACTGTAAGTTGTAGTAAGTTTAAGTACATTATAAATAATTTAATGTTAAAACTCCAGTTCCCTGTGATTMTCTGTGGTACACAAAAGACCCAATCACAGCTCTCTTATAATTTTAATGACATCATAATTTGTGGTGATGTCATCATTGCCTTGTACTGTTACATAAAACATGGTGATATGCCTAGGAACAGAGGTTCATTCCAGGAAGGCTTCACTAATTGCATTTAKTATCTGCAAATAACTACCAGTATTAAATTCAATAAAGATATTTTTTAAATTTGTGCTTTGTTCCCATAGTATTGTAAAATGAAGAAGAGTGAGGTGATCATTGCCAAGTACTATCGTTGCTTTAGGGTATGTAGGAATAATAGTTACAATATAGTATTAGTAGCTTTAAATTCATTGTGGCTTAAGAGGTTACCATTTAATAAAAGAAACAAAAACAATTMATTAATTTTTTTACTGCCTTGATTTAATATTGTTAYCATGGTGTAACCATGCATGTCTGTTGTTGCAGGATAGACGGAATTATCTTAAGCAGCGTGATGCAGCGATACTCATAGCTTCCTTTGTGCGGGGATGGAAGGTATTTTCATGGACTTGTTGCAGTGCTACTGACCTAATGTTATTTATCATATATTCAATGGTGTATCACACTACGTACATAATATCATTATAGTGGCARTGCTATGTTAATCTGTTGGGTTTTTAGTTAAATGATAATATGATGACTATTATCATRTAGTGCATGTGCACCCTAAATAATCGCATTGCACAATTTATGCACATGCATGAAATGGTAAGACTTTCACATTACACCTAAATGATAATATGCAATGCACATGCACAAAAGGTAATAAGCCGACAGTAAATGCARCATTGCTGAAGTTATATGGATTAACTTACTGGTAAGGGTTATATTAGACCAGAAATGGTGAGGCTCATCTACTCTAAAGGCATCAACTCTTATGATTGAATCAAAAACTGTGCAACAATCAGCCAAACGTAGCAGACAGTAAGAAAACAGACTTGCAAATTAATGACCGAATGTGTAAATAGGCAAATAAATAAAGAAATAAATAAACAAACAAATGTGAAGCCTTCAAGGACATTGAAGACAAAATATTCTCAACCTTACATAAGATACTGAATACTGAATGTGGAAATGTGTTATGCTTAAACTTGTCATATTCACTTGTCAAATCAAATCACTTCATATATAAATAATTAATATAATATCCACTACGCTGAAAGAAAATTCTATACCATACAGTAGTGTTCTAACAGTGTTGATAATTATTGCTTTAACAGGCCAGGAAGGCTTATCGAGCAATTTTATATGAAAWGCGATGTATCTGGGCTGTGGGGGTGATCAAAGCATACTTCATTGGTTGGAGGGTGAGCCACCCTATTTCAAAACTGATCTTAAATGAATGCTGTGCGTGATGTGCTGCTACATTATATGTCTTGTAACCTGTGCCAGTCAATTCTAAGCACTGACAACTGCAATATTGGGGTTGCACTTTATATTTCTACTTATAATCTGCAATTATTTTAAACTTGCCTTGTTAACATAAGCACTAACAACTATGCTTGGAAGCAATAATTCTAATTTTTTGATTTAATCCTGAATTGTTWTGATTTATGCATGTGATGTAATTAWAYRTCAGTTGGATGTYGTRTGCTAAACACTAATTCTGACATGTTCAGCAAATACAGTGAAGATGTGATGCTAACTTTGCATGGCAGCAAACCTGATCATGAACTTAACCCTCCCATGATTGACTTAAATCAATTTGTTTATACTTATACTGTATTTAATGATTAATGCATGATTGTATTAGGTTCGCAAACTGTGGCATGCCAAATTCCGTCGAAATGCAGCACCTAAAATCATCAGGTTTATGAGACATTTCATGGTAAGTGTACAAACATTCATTGACAATGCTTTCATGTACATTACATGTAATTTTAAAGAGTCTATGCCTATCATCTTTTAGTTCTCACAATTAAAAATAGAAATTCATAGCAATATAATGATATTGTTTTGATACATTCTTTTTGATACATTCTTTTTTGTAGATTTGTCAGTATTTGACAAGACTCAGTAAACATCTTCCCTCATTAAGTCCACTTGATGGTCATTGGCCTTCATCGTCACCCATCTACCGACAGACAAACTTACTTCTTAAAAATATCCATCATAGATGGAGGGTAGGCTCTCTTTGATACAGACATTTACAGAAAAAAAAGTCTTGTGCATTATATTATTAAAGAATTGTTTAATATGATAATTACATGGTTATCAATCAAGTTTACCAAGTCAACACTAATATATTTGTTGTAACAGTGTAAGAAATATCGTGATGGACTTGATGAAAACAGACACAGAATCCTACAGGAGAAAAGAGARGCCAGTGACCTGTTCAAAGACAAGAAGGCTAATTATCCAAAAAGGTATTTACAATGGTGTACAYTGTGTAAGAACAGTGGCATATGAATAAAATAAAACATTTTTGAGGTGATAACTTTRAACATTTAACAAGTGATCATCCTTWAACTTGAAATGTTTGTGCTTTGCATGCTAATGCTCACTTGGATTACTGCTCAATATGTTTAAAAAAGAAATGACACTTTGATATTTTTGTGRTTTTAGTGTTCCAGTGCCATTTMGTGGTGATCGTATWAACCTGGAGTCAAATCCTAAATGGCAAAAATTCACTGGTGGTAGTCGTGTCATATGGGCTGATAATGTTATCAAAATTCACAGAAACGATGCTAAGGTGAGACTCGTAGTAAAATCATGTGTTGGAACTTCTGTGAACACACAATTAAAAAACTCATACATAATTAATGAGCTACTAGGCCAATAGAATGAGCCTATTTGGTCACATGCATGGACCTTTATATCTGATAAAACACT